GGGTTTTTTTCCCTCTGGGGAGTTAAAAATTCTGTGTGTGTGTGTGTGTACATGCATGTATGTTCAGGAGCTGTTTGCCATGAAGAAATCCCTCCTTATCCCATGTTCTGTTCTTTGTTTGGAGGTGGAGGTCTGAGCAGGGCATCTAAAAGTCTTGAAACTTTCCAGAACTAGGGAAGGAGTTGGAAGTTAAATTCCAGTGGCATTTGATAAAGCATCACAAGGTGCTTGGAAGGGGTTGCCTTCCAAGATACTTGGATAGCACTTGGCAGCAAGGGAGGCAACTGCTATTGAAGGTACTACTATGACCATGACCTTGGCAGATGCAGGACAGGCCTCCACGCTGGGCCTGTGCTTGATGGACAGTCATGGTGAGGATCATTTGTTCAACTTTCCCGCCTGAGAAATGGCAGCAAACAGAATTTGTCAGCCATCTCCTGAGCACAAGGAGCCAGAGAGATGAAGATAATCACGGAATGAGGATCAGGACAACCACCATTCTTCCGCCTGTGGGATTAGAACTGTGGTTCTAACGAAGGATCAAACGGAGGAAGGCGGGAAACTCCAGTAATCATTGACATTGGACATCTCAACATCCTTGGCAAGGGCTGTCTTGGAGCTGGGTCTAAAATAATGAAATGAATGACCAGATGTAACCTAAGGCTTGTGTGTGGTGTTGTATCCACAACCGATGCCACAAATTGTCTAAGAATTGATGCCAATTGATGATTAGAGAAGGCAACCTTTTGGAAGCAGATTTCTGGATCTTTCTTCTCAGACACCTCTGAGCTGGTTTGAATATCTAACCTTTTGGGCAGTGCTTGGCCATTTGCACCATCCAGGGACTCACAACTGCTGTGGGACTATTCATATTTTAATGAGATTTTCAGAGGAAAAAAATATCACTAGTAGCATTCTCTCATGGAAAGCTACCCGAGACAGGATGTACTGGAAAGCTACCCGAGACAGGATGTACTTGATGACTGCTCTTCAATTAAAAACCCCAACAAACTTCGGGACAACCTTAGCCCTAATGCGTATTATCTTCCTCTGAGAGCTTCAGGCCCCTCCCTGCACACTTTCTCCCCTGCAGGTAAATGAGAAGTTCACTATTAGTGGAAGTAAAATATGTCGCCGAAAGGCTGCAATTTGACAATTCTCCTTTCTTTTACCTTCTTGTCATATTATTAACCTCATGGGCTAGTGGAGGAGTAAACCAGCCAGTTGCTGGGGAGGCCATTCTAATTCATGGAAGGCTCATGTGTACCAGAGCAGAACTGGGCTTCCTAGAGTTTCCAGTGGCTGATTTTTCAAAAGTAGATCATGAGGCCTTCCTTCTGAGGTGCCTCAGGGCAAAACTCGAAGCTCTAGTCTTTGGTTAGCAGTCACGTCCGCTACAGTTTGCATGAATGCTGTTTACTCCTCTTGGAGGAGAAAAGAGAGGCGATAAGATCAAAGCATCAGGGCCGAGTATAACTCATCCTTGGTACTTGATAACTGGTTGTTCTCTCCCACGATCCACTGGGAGATTTTGAAAGCAGAGAGTGGGTGGCCATTTAAGAACTGAAGATACAACTGTACAGATTTGAAGTTGTGGTGCAGCCTGATCTTAGATAACTGGGCAGATTGGGCTGTATCTGTGTGGGAGGCATTCCAAAGGCTGGGCTACAGTCTGTTCTGGTCTTCACGGGAGATAACTACACAGGGACCAGGGTGAAGTCAGCAAACTTCATCTCATCTCTTGACTTCTCCCCCAGTGACTTTTTTTTTTGTACCAATAACGGAAGAACATTCTTCTAAGTGATACAGAACTCAATTTGCTGTACTAAGGTAACCTGGGGTTGCTGTGATGCTATACCTTGTTCCGGTGGAGTGTCAAATGCCATAACAGTTATCCATGGTGGATAGTGTTTGGTGGAGCTCCCAGTTTAAGACGGGTTTGGAAGCAGGAGTGGCATCCACTTTCTAATCCACATGTCTCTGGAAATGCTATGAACATTGAGAAACTACAATGGCTATAGAAAGGCTTCAGGTCTTTTGTTCATAGGGTCACTATGGGTCATGCTTGACATGACAGCAATCAACAACAACTAACAATGGGATTTATTAGGGAAGGAAGTTGGAGAGTGGGGGAGGTAAAGAATATCATCCAATGCAAACCCAAGTTTTAGCTTAACAGTCCCAAGGCACAATGCCTCAATAAGTACGGGATCCAATTTCAGCTGAGTAGTCAAATCCAAATCACCTAGCCAGGTTTCCCTGAGTAGTTATAACCAGATCATCCAGCAAGGTTTGCTTGCTCCCTCAATGACTTCTGCCTGCTGGTCAAGGTGGCAGCCCTCGTCGTTACTCCCTCTTCAGCCACTTCTGTTTGCCTTGATCCAGATTCCCTAGCTTAGAAGAATTTCTGTGCAACTGTCTTGCTCCAGAGTCTTAGAATGTAGGGGCTTAAAGGGAACAAAGGAACCAAAGTGGGCATATCTCTAAGCAGCCATAACCTTTGATGAAATGAGAACAGGTATATAGGCACATGTCTACTGAAGACATACATACACAAACACATATGTATGCCAGTTACGTGTCTACACACAAACACACACATGTATAAACATGCTACACAGATATACTAATAATATAAAAAATATACACATAGCATTAAAAAATCCTTGTAAGATAATGAGAGTAACAACAATTAAAAACTAGTAATAGTTAATTATTCAGCATATACTTTGTGTCAGGCACATTTTAAAATGTATTTAATAAAAAGCTAAAGAAAGGTTTATCTGTAGATAGAATTATTCTTGTACGATTATCAGAGATGGGAAGGGTGGGATATAAAAAAAATCAATCAATAAATAACAGACCCTTATTAAGATGAATGAAAGGAAAGACAACATATATAAGGGGATGATCTGACACTGTATTGTGATTTATGCTATGCAATAAAATATGTATAAATGACTGACTGAAAGACAAATACACTTTGTAAGAAAATTTACTCAAATTACAATAAAAATGAATTTTAATTTTTTAAAAAAGTTACGCACAATTAGTAGTTTACATAAATTCGTTCAATTAATTAAGTTGCATACCTTTAAGATTTGTATTTTATGATAGGAGCCGTCTCAGGAAATTTAACTTACTGAATGTCAGCAGGTAGCAAATGCCAGCTAAGACTCAAGTCCAAATTTGGATGAAAGCAAAAACCATTTGGTACTAAACTGACATCTAATGAATTTTCTTCTTTGCATCTCTGCATAATCTCTTGTTTAAATTCTACCCAGGGCCCTGGCTTTATCCAGCTTCTCAGAAGCTTGTCTAGAGGAACATGATCTACAAGAATATTGCTCCCCTGTACCCTGGAAAGACTTGCGTTGCCTTTCAATTAGATCACTTCTCACAGTTTTGCCCAATGTTTCAGTGTTGTTACTCTTTGTTGTGTTACTTCTGACCAACTTCACGTGAGTCATGAAGAATACAACTGCTCCTTAAGATTTCAAGAAGTCATTCTCCTCCCTCCCTTTCTTCTGAGGTGCCTCTTGGTGGGTTTGAACTGTCAACTTTTCACCTATTTGTCAAGCACTCAATGCATACTTTATTTGTTCACTCTACAAATAAATGCTCTGGTGGTCTAGTGGCAAGAAGCTGTTCTGCAGTCTTTAAGGCATGTGGTTCGAGGCCACCAGCTGCTCTGTGGGAGAAGGATGGGCAATCTCCTCCCAAGCAGTTAACTGCCTCTGAAAATCTGCTGGAGGATGGAGGGTCAGATATGGGTTGCTTGCAACACCACAACAACAACAACAACAACAACAACAACAACTCTACAAATACTTATTAAGCACTTGCAAAGTGCCAGGTATGTCAGAAATTGCTAGTTCTCCAGCAGAATCTGCCTTCCCCTGTTCTTCTGGCCAATGAAATGTGTGGAAGCCATGAGAGAAATTTCTGAGAGGTCCTTGCAGACAAAATTGTGCACTTTGTTTTTTCCTTTATCTCTTCCTTGGTGGCTGATATGGGGATTTGATTATGCAGTACATATACTAGTTTACTGTATTAACAAACAGATACAATTTTGTGATGAGCATCAAAACATCACCACTGTATTATTATGTTAAAGATATTTTAGTGTATCTGGAAGTGGTTTTTAACACATAGAAAGATATGTTGTTTTTATTATGTACCATTGATTTGGAACCAACTCACAGCTGACCCTCCAGTGGTTTTTAGAGGCAGTTCACCACACAGGAGTAGACTTCTCCCATGGAGCAGTTGGTGGTTTCGAACCACATGCCTTTGGGCTTGCGGTGCAACTCTTTACCACTAAACCACCAGTGATCCCTACATGCTTTATTTTGAATAACTGGTGTTAGGTACAAACCTTACCAAAGCGTTCTGACTTTGAAATACAAAATATGAATTTGTATTAAAGCCAGGTTTAGGAATGGAGCCTGTTAAATGTTTCTTAATATGTATATATATTTTGATTAATAAATTCTTTTGCCACATTGTCTGTTGTGGTTGATTGCCTTCGAGTTGAGCACGACTCATAACGACCCTATGTACAAAAGGTCTGAAGCCCCTCTACAAATATCGTCATTATCAAAGTTTCCGGAGGCATGTTGTTTAGGAATTGGATGCTACTCCTGCTTCCAAACCTGTCATAATATGTTATTGTTGCCATGTGCCATTGAGTCACCTGCAATGTATGGTGACCCTATGTACAGTAGCTCTGAACCCTTCCCTGTCCTGATTTCATTTGCCTGTCTCAGGAGAAAGAACTTTTAGCACACGTGCTGGCCCGCCTCCCACATGTGCATCTTGTGCTTTGCTGAGGCATCTGCTACACACTGTCCTTTGGCCTGGCTGACCTCATAAAAATCCCCTCCTGCTATTCTTTCCCCACCGCCTGGCCAATAAAAACGAGCCTCATTTCTGCTGCCAAGAACTCTAGCCTCGTGCCGTGAGGCACAGCCAGCTCCTTCTCCTGGGACTTGCCCACAATGAAGCTTCTTTTCCTTCTCCTCACCATCCTTCTGGCTGTGGGACCAGTGGTGCCAGGTACCTTGGACTTCTCTCAAGTCTGGGATCTCAGTCACGAGCTTCCTTCTGTCCCTCCCTCATGCTGTGGGCTGTATCTGAAACCTTTCCTCATTTCATGCAGCTCTGAAAGGCTTTCTCAGGATCTTATGCCCACATTTCTCCTTGATTCTATTCTGCCATGGTGGTGGAATACTGGGGACTTTGGGCATTTGGACTAAAGGAAAGGAATAGTTTTCTGGGGGGTCTTTGGGAGCGGCTTTAGAAGTAAAGGGGAGATACAGGTGAAGCCTTTGGAAGATTTTCTTTAAGGCTGAGGATAAATTGTAGTGGGGGAGAGAAAGACCTTGGCATTAAGGCATTAGAGAGAAGTTGGATTAGGATGCACTGGAGAGTTTGGGTTGGCTTTTCCTGATGGTTTGGGTGGACTGGACAGGGAATGGGATTTGAGATTAAGTGGACATGGTATCAGGGATTATGCTGGAGTTTGGAATGAGGCTGGAATTTGGTACTAGGGTACAGGATACAGGGTACAGGGTGTTTGGGATTCAGTTTGGAGTTGGATTATTACTGGGAATTGAGGCTTGCAATTTGATTAGATTTGGGTTTGACTTGGAATTAGACTCAGAGTGGATTGTAGATTCAATTGAGTGGTGCTAGGAATTACAATTTAGGTTTGGGACTTGGGTCAGAGAAGATGAGATTATGGCTGGATCTAGGACTTGTTGGGCTAAAGTTAGACAGGGCCAGGACATTAATAAGGATCTGGGTCTATTAGAATATGAGTGAACAGACCCTCCTTTCCCTAACTTTCCTCATCATTTCCAAGATTGATTAGGTGGGAACTGCGTTGGTGTCAAATGTTCCCAGAATTATGAGTAAGAAGTTGGCAGAAAAGAAGACAGAAGGGTGGGATGTCTGAAAAAGGCTATTCTGAAAACCTTGGGATCCAATTTGAAGCCATTGTCCTCCTTCTTTCCCCTCTCAAGTTCTCTTCTTGCCTTCCTTGAACTGAGCCCCATGCTACTTCCCAGACCCTCTGCCTCTCTGTCTTTCCTGTCTTTCTTCTTGTCTCTCCCCTTGAGAGTTATTAACATGCACCTAAAGGTTGTTCTTATACTCAGAAGAGAGGTGCTGGATGGGAGGATACTGCAGATTGGTGTGCCAAGACAATGAAGACACCATCTCACGTTGCCGAAGTCGTAAGCGGTGCTGCGTTCTTGCTCGCTACTTAACCATCAGGCCGTTAGTCATTGATCACGAGATCACCCTGCCGAGCCCGTTACCAAAGGCACCACTATGGAAAAAAGTGAAAAAAAGAAAGAAGGGATAGATGCTTCAGGCCTTCTGGTTCCCCTATCCCATTAAAGTTTGCAAATCTGTTTCGCGTGTCTGTCAATCAAGAGGAATGATACCTCAAATGAACTGGGGATGGGATATGAGAGCGTAACGTTTCAGAGGTAACACAGAGAGAGAAGTTGCCAGGTCTGGAGCACAGCAGTAGGATGATCACAGCTTTGAAGATAGCTCCTCCTTCATCAACCAAATGGCCTTAGCAGAGCCTACGGGTCATAATCAATAAAGAAGCTCTGTGGGAAGACGTGAAACTTAGAGGGATAGCAGATGCTATAATGTTGTTGAATCCTTAAGCTGGGAAGAGTCGACCCACAGTGGGGTTAGTGGACTTGGGGGTGGACAGGACCTTAGTAAGGCGGAAATCCTTGGGTTTCATGAGAGTCAACTTTTGATGTCTCAAGGATCAGAAGTTTCAAAGTAGCAGGAAACAATAGAGCACATACATGAATTCTCTCAAGAAAAACTTTATACTATTGCTATTGAGACTATACACAGCAAAACATACCCCGATCCAACAGTTTCTACCAGTATGATTTAGTGGCATCATACCATTCTTTGAGCTAGACAGACGTCTTCATCCTTCTTTTCCGAGTTCTTCCCTTATTAATATAAAATTACTGCTTCTTACTTTGGTGTTAGAGAAGAGTGCTGAAGATCCCACGGACTGCCAAACAAACAGATATGTCTTGGAGAAGGTGCAGTCAGAGTGCTCCTTGGAGGCAAAGATGGTGAAGCTCCATCTCTCATACTTTTGGTTTATTACTTGTTGTTGATTGCTTTCTAATTGAATACGACTTGTAGTGACCCTATGAACAAAAGGCCTGAAGCCTTTCTGTAATGTTATCAAAGTTCACAGAGTTTCTGGAGGCATGTTGTTTAGGAAGTGGATGCCACTTCTGCTTCTGGGTTTATTACTAGGAAAAGTTATTCTTGGAGAAAGATATCGTGCTTGGAAAGATGAAGGAAGGGATGGTGAAGGAGAGGAAGGCTCTCAACCAGGTGGATTGACACTGTGACTACTGCAATGGGAGCTAGTGTGTCAGGAAGTGTGAGGATTCCCAGGATAGGACAAGTATCAGATCTCTTGTTCATAGGGTCATTATGAGTCATACTCAACTTGACAGCACCTAACAACAACTGCCTCCTAAGATTCCTATCTAATATTTAAGATCATTATTGTCAATCGGATCCCACAGAGATAGTTCTTAAGGCACACTGATTGCAGCAATGGGCCGAAGTGTTTCAGAGATGATGAGGACGGCACAGGATGGATAGGGTCACTATGAGTCATACTTGATTTGAAGTCACAGAACAAAAGTATAATGCTCCAGGCAGATCTTTTTCAAGTAATTAAGGCAAACTATTGTTTGGTTTGAAGACAGCTTTAGGGAATATTTTTGGCTTAATGTTTAAATTGTCCAGAATCATAGTTTCAGGGGTTTATCCAGTTTTCAGGGCTCCAGAAAACTAGAGTCTGTGGGAATCGGAAATTATGTTCCGCATTCTTCCCCACCTTTGATCTGAATTCTTCTAAAGAATGATCAAAATGATCAGTAATAGTACCTGGCGACCATCCAGTTCTTTAGTCACATACCCCATTCCTTGTCCTATACCTGACTCTCCTTCCTCTCTTACTACAGGTGAATAGAGACCAATCATTACACCTTGAATGGCCACTTGTGATCTTTATTTAAAAATTTAAAAAAAAATTTTAATTATTAATTTTAATGAACATTTACAGAGATTTTGGATTTCTATTCATTAATTGTTGCACTTTTCTCCCTGGCACCCCCTCTTCCCCCCAGCTCACTGTTCTCTTTCAAAAAGAAAAGTTCTTTCACTGGTATACAATATCCCTGCACCCCCCCACCCCCTCCCGCCACCCCAAGTATACTCCACTCTGCAACCTTGCAATCTTTTAAAACTCTAGAATGAAAAAAAAAACTAGAGCAGGAGTACTAAGCATGTTATTAGATCAATGGTCTCACTAAATCATCACCTTAAACCTCCAAATAAAAGAGTCTTTAAACCCCTATATGCTTACTTTTTTTTATGTCTTTTAAAAAAATTTTATTGGGAAAAACATGTTGGGGATACACAGAGGTGAGGGTTGGGAGCAGAAGGGTGAGGATGGGCTGGGATGAAAAAAAAATTGCAGGGATGCAGTTGCAAGGCTGCACAATTTGCTTTGTGGGAGGAGCAGGTGAAGGAAATGCAAAGGATTCAGTGGGGACAAGATGATACAGGGGCAATGGTAAACATAGTCCAATGGTGATTAAACAAACTGTCTTTTTCACTTGTGGGTTTCTCATTTGGGAATTGGGCACAAACTCTCTGGCTTCTTCATGCTGAACAGGGGCGATGATATGAAGGGGGAAAGGGAGGATACTTTATCACCTTACTGGTGGTCTTGGGTTGAAGCTGCTGTCGCCTTGTTCTGTTAGAAGATATTTTCCTGTCATTTACTCCCCTCTGGACTGCAAAATGTTTTCCCAGGTGGGTCCAGTGGGGATTGTTGACTAAACCCTGAGGCTCCATCCTCCTTTGCTTCCTTAACTGGCTGTTGTATTTCCTTTTTGTCTCTGGAACTGGGTTCAGGGTCAGGTCTGGAGTAAAACTCAGTGTTAAGGTTACCCTATAGAAAAGGGAGCAAATCTAGAGATAAGAAACTTGTGAGTTACAAATAGAAGGGCTGGTGTACTGGGGAAGAGGGTAGAGGAAAGTAGCCTCCATAAAATTGTCTGTATACCCTAGGCAATTTTTTCTACCCAGGGGTCGGGTGGCACAACCCTGAGAGCTGAGGAGCTCACCCCGAGGGCCAGCTCTCTCCGCTGCCAGCAGCCTATCAAACGGCTGGCCCCACCTCCGGGGCAAACAAATGGCTTGTCCCACCATGGGGGGTGGGGGTGGAAAGGTGGGGGGTGGGGTGGGCGACCGAACCACTCACCCCTAGGGCAGGATAACAACCCCCGTGGGCCAGGCAACACACTCCAGGGTCTGGCTTGCACATTCCCCCACCAAAGTCCTTCCCCCCAAGTCTGTACCCCTTGCCTCACTGAAGACCATGTGGCCAGGGATATCATCCCCAATTCTGGTACCACCGCCCCAATAAGTGGTCATACTGTAATTTGAAGTAGGTGTCACTGCCCTCCCCCTTCACAAATGGAGAAGGGGACCTGAGAGTCGTGAACAGACCCCGCCCCACCCAGGTCTAAACAGTTCTTGGCAAAGGCAGACAGCAGATCACAAGATGCGGTGCATTGAGGATATCTGCCGTCTCAGACATGCTGTCACAGTTAAATGTCGTTGAGTTGTAGACAGCTCACAGATACCCACATCAATCCATTATACTGGTAATCTTTCTCTCTGGCCTGCCCAGGGAGACCCCAACCTGCTGCCCTGTCTCCCGCAGCAGCCATCTTGGCTCCAAGAATTCTCCCCAGAACAAGTCCACTCTGTGGCGGTGTGGTGGCTCCACTGCACCAGCCTGGGGGTGGGTGGGGGCGGGGGGCAGTGCCTACTGTCCATCTCGGGTGAGGGGATCCCTGGGGTCCGGGGGTGGGAGCCTCATGGAGCTGCGGCGGCGGCGCGGGCTCAGCACTATATGCTTACTTTTTAAATATTTTCTCTTATTTTTCAACATTTCCCACATGGGTTTATTTACACATTCCTTCGCCTCAGCCTTGCAACTAAAATCAGTAGACTGTGCAAATAAACATCTAAGAACTTCAGCTTCTGCATCTATAAAGTTGGAATAATGAAAGACTTTATCTCAGGATTATGGTAAGAATACAATGATAGCATATAGAAGGCAGTGTTCAGAATGTAACAAACTCAATATATGTTAGCTGTTGCAATTGTTCATTCAGTTATTCAAGCATTTTCACAGTGTGCGCTATATGCCTTCCAACTATGTCAGACTCAGAGGGACACATAAGCTTGTCTGATCTGAACTAACAATTTTAGAAAATGATTAACCCTCAGGAGACATTTAGAATCCAGCTTTAGAATTCAGAGGCCCTAAATGTCTTTGTCTTGGAAACCACATTTCCCTTTCACCTTGTCCTCATCACTGAGCTCATTTCCTTGTTAAATTTCTTTTCATTTTTCAAAGTCTAGTGAATTTCACTATTAACTATGTTCTGCTCTCTCTTAGTAAGTGTAGTATTACCTCTAATAACATTTTTTTCTAACTGCCTTATGGTACTGTATTGGATACTTCTAGACACAAAGTCGTACAACAATCCTCTTTTGATTTCTATTTTACTGTTGCGGAAACTGAGATTCAGAGAGGCTGTATAATTGGCTAAGGTTACATGGTGTTAAGATTGAGAACTCAAATTGAGTTATATACACATAAACAAACATACTAGACAGAAATAATTAGGGGTAGAGACTATAGCTTATTTATATCTCAATGCTTAGTGGTTGTTAGGTGCCATCTAGTTCACCTCATAGTGACCTTACGAACAACAGATCTGAACCCTGTTCTTTTTGTGTCATCCTCACCCATCTCTGATATACTTGAGCCCATTGTTGCAGTTACTGTGTCAATCTACCTGGCCGATGGTCTTCCTCTCTTTGTCAGTCCCTCTACCTTCCCAAGCGTGATGTCCTTCTCCAAGGACTAGCCTCTCCTAGCAACATGCCCAAAGTATGGAGATGAAGCTCTATCATCCTTGTCTCCAAGGAGCACTCTGGCTGCACCTTCTCTAGGACGTATCTATTTGATCTTTTAGCAGTCTATGAGATATTCAGTACTCCTCCAACACCATAGTATCAAATGAATGGAAGTCCAAAATCTCTTTAGATGTTCATTGAAATTAATAAAAAAAAATTCTTTGTAAGCTGAAGAATACATAAAAGGTATTATAACTTTTGCTTGAACCTTCAAATGTAAATTAGAAAATTTAAGAGAAGCAGAAAGTATATTGTATATATTATGTTTTCAATATTTCTATTGATCTTTCTTCCCTCTGAATGTTCCAATAGTCTTTCTTTCTACATTTCCTTTCTGTTTTGAGGATTTCTGTTAGCACTTCTCTTAGACTGTGTCTCAAAATCGTTGTAAGGACAGTAATTCCTACTCATAGTGACCTTTCATTGGGTTTCTGAGGTTATTAACCGTAGAAGACTACATTTCTTACTCTTGTGGAGCTGCTGGTAGACTTGAACCACCAGAGATGTGAAACCTTTTGATTAACAGAGAATCATGCTTCAGACTCTGCCACCAGAGTATATTTCTAGGGTAGATCAGTTGGTGACATTCACTTAGTGTTCTTGATCTCTCTTCATTCCCTAAGGGTGTTTTAACTAGATGCAGAGTTCTAGTATGATAGATTTGGGAGTTTTTCCTCCTATCACCATCTGTTTGTGAAGGTAGACTGATGTCTTATTCCCGTAGTTGGGGGTAGTTGGTAGTTCGGCTCTGTAGGATGGCAGGGGAATTGTTACCAAAAGCCCCAGCTTCCCTCTTGGGCTTCTCTCATATCATTTTGAGAGAGGAGGAGGGGTTGAGAGGGTAAAAGTCCAAGCTCTCTGTTTTTGCTGGTGGGGTTGTGGGAGGGACTGAGTTTTGGCTTTATTTATGTGGTATTTGACTAGAGTTGAGACATTGCCTTCAATAATCTATCTTGCTAGGCTTTCCTCCTTTCTTTGATCTTTGGGCTACAGAGCAGGCTTTTCTCGGAGTTTTTAATGTCTGAATCCATTTGTGTGTGGGTTTTTTTGCATGCATCCACCCATCTAAGTTTGCCAGATTTCCTGTAACTAATCTGGGACATAACCCCTCCCGTCCCCCCAAACCAAAACCAAAACCAAAACCAAAATCCTAGGAAACTCATAGTGGTGCCATTTTCCAGTCCTGAGACCTTTGGCTCATTTGACATTTTTCTTTTCACTGTTCAGAGCCTTCTTATGTGTTTATTTTATCGATAATGAACAATTTTCCATTGTATTTATGGGACAAATAGGAGAGAGGAAGGCTACTTTATTTTTCCGGATATGGAAGTTGCTGTATTCCCCTTAGGATCTTACGAGGCTCCTGGAGTCTTGTTATTGAATCTATGATGTTGTTGAGTAGACATTAACTATTTTAATGTGTTTCTCTCTGACTAGGAAGACACCATTCCCTTCAGTGCTTGGGTAACAAAGGAACCTGTAGAGACTTTTGCAGAAGGAATGAACGGCCCTATCTCTACTGTAAAAGTGACCAACCATGCTGTCTCCATTCCTACATGAGGATAAACATGATTGCCAGAGAGCAAGACGGTGACTGGGCTAGAGGGGGCATTTGGCCGTAAATAGCCTGAGTGCTGGTGATCATCATCTTCAGCCCCGTGGGAGCCCAGACCTACTGTCAACCCCTCTCATTAAAATGAGTGCACTCACCGCCCTTGTCTGTATTTTATGCCTTGGGGAAAATGGGGAGAGAGGAGGAGTTTTGCATGAAGAAATGTCTGTCTCATTCTGCGTGTGTAAGTTTGTGGGTGAGAACATTGAAAGGCTGGCGTGACAACTGGATCGAGTTTAGACAAGCCATTGAAGACAGGGAAAGAATGGAGTCAAGTCTAGTAAGACAGAGAGAAAAGGTTTGGGCAGACACATTGACAGGGAATGACAAAGGAAACACTAACAAAGTTAGT